TGGATGGTCTGTTTTTGCTATTTTGCTTATATATGTAGCAAGTATTGTTGATTGTTTTTCTCATACCACTGTTAATTTTGTTTGTTTTCTGGTACATCTGTGTCATTTTTTAAAAATCCTTTAGCTTCAATAATAATTACACAAAAATACCTGATTTCTCAGAATCCCAAACAAGAGATAAATCAGTCACTACAGTATTAATAAGGGAAAAAGTGCCCCTTCCTTTAACTTTTTGCTGCTGTATATATAATTTTCTTACTTTGACATAATATTCAATCTTTATAAGCTCACAACCAGCAAGGGAGGACTGAGGGAGAGGAGGAACAATGATCTGCTCCTTCCACTCCACCTCCTTGCCGGCCTTCACCACGCCTCCCTCCACCTCTGCTATCGTCCTCACATCGTGGGTGGGCTTCTTCGTCTCATAGGTCACTCTCTGAAAACACACATTGACAAGGTGATTCATAAACTGGGCTCAGTGTGTGGTGACTGCAGAATACAGAATGTCAGGAATTTCCAGTTACTGTCAAAGACAGAGATTTTTTACTGTGTTCTAGCAATAGACAGGATATGCACTCTGATTTAAAAGGTATAAAGTAAATAGCAGCAAACATACTTAGTTGAGTTTTGACACCTTAACTGAATACAGCAAATAATACACAATCAAACATATAATTTGGGCTACGGCATCTAGCAGGATATGGTCAGAGAGCTTAGCTAAAGCTAGTGATTCATATCTGTTTTGACCTGCACAATCTAAAACTTTATCATAAAAGTATTAATAACTGTTTTTTTTGTTTTTAGTTTTTTTTTTTAGTTGAATGAGCGGACATTCTCAGTCCTAAAGCAGATTAAAACTTATGTCAGAAGTACGACTGGACAGACCCGATTTTCAGCAATAGCCTCCATGGCGATAGAAAAGGACTTGGAACTGAAATGCATGAATTGCCTGCTCAACAGAGTGATTGAACTCTTTGGGAGCAGAGAAATAGGATGTAGTTTGTGTTAAATAATCACAAGTTTTAGTGAGTAAAATGAATTCTATTTACATTTATACATATATATTTGTCATTCTTTTGGGTTAATATTGATGCTCCTGCTAGATGTGATGTGTACAAGGTGTGTCAGAAAAGTTCCAGGACTGGTGTTACAAACAATACATTTCAAACCCAAACTACAAACTACGAGTTTTCTCCTTCAGATGATCCACCAGCACATCCAAAGAGATCCTGTGGCGTTTACTTTGTTCAGTGCGCCAGAAGAGGCGAGAATTGTGATAGGACAAGTGGTGGCTGCTTCACCATGACAACGCGCCTGCTCACAATGCCCTGAGCATCCGACAGTTCCTGGCTGAGAAGAACATCGCCGTGCTGGAGCAACCTCCCTATTCGCCCCACCTGGCTCCGTGGGATTGTTTTCTTCCCCCTATGCTCAGACATGGATGATATCAAGATGGCTGTGACGATGGAGCTGCGGAAGATCCCGGAAGAATCCTTCCAGGAGTCCATGGTGGCGTGACAGAGAAGGCTGGAAAAGTGCATTAGACTCCAGGGGGATTACTTGAAAGGGGACAACTTGTAGTTTGTCTTTGAAATATATCTTTTGTGACACCAGTCCTGAGACTTTTCTGAAACACCTCATGTGGCGCAGCTGTGGCTGCAGTGAAAGGAGACTTGTTGAATTGTTTTAATTCAGTGTCTTGCTTTAGCGATGTCATTCATTGTCGCTTCATGAGATACCCGTCTGTGATGCAACATCCTGTTATGCTGCCTTTCTGTATAATACTGATAGTTTCTGTAGCCATGGCATCATAATGATGATATTAAGAGGTGGTTTGATCCAGGTAGGACGCCACTGAAAGCCTGGGTGTAAAATGCACGGCCTGCCATTGCATTCAATTAAGGCTTTGGTGATATGTAAATATAAATAAGTTGAGCCTTTACCTTAGCAATTCACAAAAAAGGACTAACACAGTGCAACATAAAACAGCTTCCAGTCACATCCAATAACATGGAATCTATTGCATTTAACCACAAGCTCATATCAACCCATCTACCATATACCACCCATGTAGCTCTACTAGCCGCTATAAGGTATGCAATTTTTTTTTATTACTCTCAGATATTTTGAAAAAATCTAAATGGGCTACACAGAGGTAAAAAGACATCACTAAAAATGATAAATCAGCAATAGAATGTAGACCATTATAAAAGTTTGCTCTGACCTGCACCAGGCTGGCTGCCATGTTGCCTGTGGTCTTCCCAGACTGGTTGTGTATGTTGGCCGTCACCTGGATTATCTGGCCTGTTGTGTAGCCCTTCATGTCAGTGTGGGCCTTCAGGACCATTGTGCCTGTTTTCACTAGCATGTAAGTGAACTGCTGGGTCACTGCAGATGAACTGATATCCTGCATGAAAAATGGTTGAGATAGACGATACACATGTTTGTTAAAGTTTGTTAGTAAGTTCAACATTCTTAGTTACTTTGGACTCAATAGATCTGTCCATTTTCCACATAACTTAGAGAAAAAAAAAAAGTGTTGAGTTCAAAAACATACCCGCCAACATAGTTGTCCATTTAATCCACAACTGACATATTGTAGTTTCGCTGGTGGTTGTATGCTGAAACTATTTTTTTTTGTCAAACAGCAGCACCCCTGTGCAGTGTCTTTGCCCCTGGCAACTGTCACAGCTAGTTTGAAGAGGTGTGGACTTATCAAGTTCTACGACTTTGGACTCCAAAGGTTTGATTTCAACACTTTTGGCTCTTGACATATTTAAGGTCTATCTTGTATAGCAAACCAGGTCTTCACATTTCTGACAGTGAACTTTGAATCTGTCAGAAGCACACTTCATTGACATTAAAACATTCAATGAAGCAGATATATTATTTTTTAGTTTTCACTGGTTCAAATAATACAATTAAATTGATCACATTTTATTAATTGTTGCTCATTAACTTCAATGGTGCACATTACCCACCAAACAGACAGAATACAACTTTTGTCTGCCATTGTATCTGCTTAATGCCCTCTCAGCAAGCTGCTGTCAGTTCCTGGCCAAAGCTTATTGGTGTGGTACAAGAGTCACTAATACTATGTGTTCTGTAGTTCAACAAACCTAGTGGAGTGCACTCGTCTAGTGAAGAACAAATGCTGCCCCATGTGAATTTCAGCTGTTGGAAGCTCACTGTTCCATTCACTATCATCAATATCATATCATCAGTATTTAAAGCAAGTAGCTTATTAAAAATAATATGTGCCAAGTCATTAACCTCCAGCTGCTCCTTGCAGTGTGTTGGGTTATATATTCAGTCAGTGTTTTATCATCATCATCATTGTCATCGTGTTTACAGATGTACACTAGTAAATTTAGACAAACTTAATATTTGGGCCTAAACACCTCAGAAACATCATCTAACCATCATATAACAGTTACTGTGGATGGCATTGTCTTGGCCTCCAGGAACCTTGGAATTATTTTTGATTAGGATATGTTATTTAGCTCACACATAAAACAATTCGCTATGCCACCCTTTGTTAAAATGATGCTGAGAAACTAACCCAGGCATTTGCTACTTCTAGGCTGGACTACTATAATTCCTTATCATCAGGAAACCTCAAATGTATCCAAATCCCTATAGTAAGGACACTGAGAGGAGTTAGCATAAGGGAGATCCTATTCCTCTCGTATTAAGCTTTGTTTGCTGGCTGCCTGTAAAATCCATCATATTATCCCAAAAGAGCACTCCCCTCTCAGAGTACAGGTTTAGTTGGTTTATGTGCACTGCACCGTGTAAATCTGCAAAGACAAAGAAAGTCTCTCCAAGTTGTGGTTCTTAAGCATTTCCAAAAGCAGAATAGGAGGTAGAGTTTTCAGCTATCAAACTCGTCTGCTGTAGAACCAGCTCCATGGTTGGGTGTGAGAGGCAGACACCTCCTCTGCTTTAGGAATTTGGCTTAAAACTTTCATTTCTGATGAAGCTTACATTTAGAGCTGGCTCAGGTCATCCTTAATCACCTCGATGCTAGTGATATACTTTCCACATCTGCAAGTACCCAAAAGTGTGTGCTAGGGCCTGAGTGACATAAGTTTTATCATCAGTGAGTGTATGTGAGACTCTGTGTGGCCCTTAAATTTGTTGTGATACTACAGCAGCATAGCTGCACATGTGACAGACAACCAAAATGGGCCAACAGCTGCTAATCTACTGCACATGCATAAAGCGCGCCCTCCAGTGGACTAGAGAGTATTAGAACAGCATTTCACTATGACTAAGCCCTGCAAGGCTTCTGCACTTGTTTATTGTTTATTGTAAATAAGAAACTTTAAAATATATTTACGTTTGATTAAAATGATATCAAGCAGAAACCTTAACCCCAAGATTATTACACCAAGGCACATTTGTTCCTTGAGCTTTTAAATGCGCTATTATCTAAAAAGAATACATGATCATTTAAAAAAAATAAAATAAAATAAATAAATATGTAAATGTACTCGACTAATTGCTACTTTGTTAAAAAAATAAATCCAGTCTGATGAGTGGTATATACTGAAACCATCTGAAATACAGTCTGTCTAAAACACTGGGAATTAGGGACTTCATTGTTGGTCTTGATTTAAGACTTGCCTGGGGACTTGGAGGTCGACTTCATAGCTAAGACCTGATACTTTTGGTTTTCAGAACAATGACCCTCCAGGTTTCCTAGCACTGTATTTGTACACACACTAAAACTCTGGAATCACTAAGCATATCTGACAAACTGCACTGAAGTGCTGGGAACACAGACAAACTGCAGCTTGACAAGACCTCCAACATAAGATTACTCCAGTTACCACAAAATGTGAAATTTGGATTTAAATGACCAAGAAACAATGTTTGGGGTGTGTTTTGAACTCTGAAGACCAGCTTCAGTCTGATGTATTTGTCTAACAAGACAAAGACTAAACATACACACATCTATAATGTCTCACCCATATATCTGGTACTTCATTCAGGTTGAGAAGGCTTAGCAGGTAGAAAGCTTTCTCTGTGCTGTAGTCCTTGGCAAATCGCGGTGTGTCAAAAAAAGCCCTCACTCTGTAAATGATCCTGCCATAGTTGCCTTCAAAAGATGTTGGAGCAGTGGCTGTGGGGAAAAAAAAGTCAGATCTGCATTACTGTAGTTTTATCACATAAAAACAGGTTGTTCTAGCAGGGTTACTGCACAGTTCCAATGTTCCACTTTATCTTTTAACATTGGGGCTGCTGGTAATAAAAGAGACTGACATCTGTGTAACAGAAACATGGTCTTCCTACAATACATCATTATCAACTAAAATGACTTCTCACAGAAGATTTGATTACGCTTATCCCAATAATTTCCCAAACCTGATGAATGACAAGTTAGTTTTCAAGTAAACATGAAAACAAGACCTCTGATACACCTGAAAAACCCCCAAGGCTGAAGGCACATGTTTAAAATGACAGGACTAGATTGTTTACAGTAAAAAGACCAGTTGGGCTGGTTTTCACGCTGGTTTAAAAATGAGTCTGAGCAGAGAAGTTACAAAGGTAACACACAAGTGTTGACTGTGTTCTCTCATGTGTGGAAATCTATGAAAACAAACCAAGGCAACAATGTGTAGAGCGGAAGTGAGGGACAAGGGGTACTTTATTCCAAGTCACAACTGTACCATAAATGAATCATAAATAGAAACAAGTTTGGTGTTTATTTATAAAATTTAATCTCAAATATTTTCTCTTGATTTGCCTTAACTGTTTCATTATGTGTACATAATGTGAGGTTAAGAAGAGTCCATAACAATAAGCAAATGTCATCAGGGAGTGCAGATTGCAGTGTAATGAGTAAGTGGAACAAATTGACAGCTGTTGACGTCAGTCTGTAGTAGTGACAGATGGAAATCCTGACAAGAATGTCCAGCATACAAAACCTACCCCTCTCCTCTTGTGTAAATCCTATCTTTTAGAACTTTTTCAAGAATTGTTCTCATTCAGATCCACTGAAACATTTAAGATCCAGGTAGTCAAACTGTTACAAAGCGCTTCAACAAGAGCTTCTACACATTTGACAACTGGCAATTAACTATTGCCAGAAAAAACTAAAACTTGAGAGGAAATGTCAGGTTTGATACAACTTAAGTCAGTTATGATAACTCTGTATGATAACTCATGTATATCAGCAATTAGTAAGTAAAGTAAGTTTGAGCAGTGCTTTTTATGATCTGACTGATCATCTGACTGCTTACGCTTACATATTTATACTGAATAGACTTTGGGATTGACGGCCATAACAATAAAAACAAGGCCAAGTGGTCACCAGATTCAGGCTTGTGATTCCATTATTTTCCCCAACCACTGTATTCACTATTTGAACACAGATGAAAGGACCAGTGACATAGTGCTTCGAGAAAAATTCTACATTAAAGCTGCATTAATTGATTTTTGCCACTTGGAGGAACACAATACACTGTAAAGACAACATTTTATCTCCCTTTGTAGTTATTATGGTGAACATTATTATTCATTTTCAAGTCCACAGGAACACAGGAACATGGTCAAAGGAATCTGTTGAACTTTAAACCAAGCATCAAAAAACAGAAGAAAGGTGATGTGAGTGACTTTAAAAAGGGCATAGTTAGTGCCAGACAAGCTGGTTTTAGAATTTCCAAAACTGCTAATCTACTAGGAGTTTAACACTAAGCCAGTGTTGGGATTGTTACTAAAAATCTTTTTTTTTTTTAATTTATCTATTACACATTAATAGTTACTCATTTATAAAGTAATACATTATGTTAATTACCTTGTTGCCCATAAAGCTGAAATAAAGTATTTTTTACCTCTTCTCATGAAATGATTGTGACAATACGATTTATTCTTGACAAAGTGCATATCTTCTCAAAACTTTATTGATATCACTATGTACACTGCTCAGAAAATAAAGGGAACACCTAAACAACACCAAGGTAAGTCCAAGTCAATCACACTTCTGCAAAATCAAACTGTCCAGTTAGGAAGCAACACTTATTGTGAATCAATTTCACCTGCTGTTGTGCAAATGGAGCAGCCAACAGGTGGAAATGAGAGGCAACTAACAAGGCAACCCCTATAAAGGAGTGGTTCTGCAGGTGGTGACCACAGACCATGTCTCTGTTCTCATCCTTTCTGGCTGATATTTTGTTCACTTTTGCATTTTGTCAGTGCTCTCAGCCCTAGAGGTAGCATGAGGCGGTGTCTACAATCCACACAAGTTGCTCAGGTAGTGCAGCTCATCCAGGATGGCACATCAATGCAAGCTGTGGCAAGAAGGTTTGCTGTGTCTCTCAGCACAGTGTCCAGAGCCTGGAGGAGATACCAGGGGACAGGCCAGTACACCAGGAGACAAGGAGGGGGTCGTAGGAGGGCAACAACCCAGCAGTAGGACGCTACCTCCTCCTTTGTGCAAGGAGGAACAGGAGGAGCACTGTCAGAACCCTGCAAAATGACCTCCAGCAGGCCACTAATATGCATGTTTCTGCTCAAACTGTCAGAAACAGACCCCAAACAGACTCCAAAGGGAGAGCAACTTCAGGTTCAGTGTCTTGGCCAAGGACACTTTGACTATGGAGGGGTGGGGGATCAAACCGCCAACCTTGCGATTGGAGGACAACCCGCTCTACCACCTGAGCCACAGCCACCCAATGTGGCATGAGGGCCCGATGTCCACAAATGGGGCTTGTGCTTACACTGTGCAGGGTGATTGGCATTTGCCAGACAACACCAAGATTGGCAGATTCGCCATTATGGATGAGAGCAGGTTCAAACTGAGCACGTGTGACAGACATGACAGAGGCTGGAGACGCCGTGGAGAACGTTCTGCTGCCTGCAACATCCTCCAGCATGACCGGTTTGGCGGTGGGTCAGTAATGGTGTGGGGAGGCATTTCTTTGGAGGGCCACACAGCCCTCCATGGGCTAGCCAGAGGTACCCTGACTGCAATTAGGTACTGGAATGAGATCCTCAGACCCATTGTGAGACCATATGCTGGTGCAGTGGGCCCTGGGTTCCTTCTGATGCATGACAATGCTCGGCCTCATGTGGCTGAAGT